CTTGTACGAAGGTCCCCATCCCTCATCTTACTGAATCCCCCTGACTCCTAATGCTGGCTGTGAGGTTTGCTGCTCTGGATCTAAAACTGCCCCAGGACCCCACAGCCACCCCAGTGCTGGGCTGTGTTCCTTCCCTGCCAGAGCTCCCCAGGGAAGGCCAGAGCCAGACCAGGATGTCAGTTGCTGAGCAGGAGCACCCTCCCTGCCTCCCATTCCTGCTTGACTAGAGGAGGGGGAAGCTACGGAGACGCCCAGCTCCCCAGACTGCGTTCCCTCCAGCCCAGCTAGAGCCATGGGCTACCTGTGCTATGATTTCCTTCTTATTTTCTTCTTTTAATCAATGGGCTTTTAAAAAACTTAGCCTCATCTTAAATAATAGCAGCAATAAAATCACAGATACTATATGCTAGCTTTGTAATTTTTCTAATACATATTAAATTCTTTAAAAAGTGTATATGAAGCCCCAAGTATGGGAAAGAGTAAGACCACATCACAGGTGCTCTGGAAATGGGCAATGCCATGTGGGGTTAGCAGCCAGGTCCGCTACCACCAAGGGTCAGCCTTCCTGGGCTGGGGAGACAGGAAGGCTGGGTGAGATCCCAGCTCTGCTATTAGGATCTCTGCCACCCTGCACTTGTCACTTTGCCTCTTGTAGCTTTGTAACCCATCTGTACCATGGAGCAGTGACCTGTGGGCTGCTGTGTGCTTCAGCTCCTGAACATCTGATGTGTGTCCAGCACAGGCCAGGCATAGCCCCATCCTTAGCCCGAGTGCCTTTTCTCTATCCATGGCTGACACGAAGGGTGTGGCCGTGAGCCAGCTAGCAGGGGGACCCCATTTACTCGAAAGGGATCCTACTCCCCTCTCACCCCTCAATCCCAGGCACTTCTGCCCTGCCCTGCCCTCTGACAGTACCAAGCTGGGTGTCCCTGGGGGCCCTCCCTGATGTGACCCAGGTCAGGACACCTCTCAGATGTCCTTGCACCCTCTGCATCTGTCTGGCCAATCAGGCATGGGTCATTTGGAGCCTTTGGCCAGTGTCTTGGCTGATCTGGCGAGCCCTAGCCAGCCCTGAGTCCATTTCTCCGAGTGAGGTAAGAGGCTCTTGCATTTTTCCAAGCTCTGGAAGTGCCCCCACTGCTTCCAGTACGAGGGGAGCTGGCCGAGCTGGCAGGGAGGCTGTTCTGTAAGCAGGCACTCTGCTGCTGCACTGAGACGTCTGCACAGGAGAGAGGAGCTGGGGTCAGCCTTTGCCTCCTGGGACTCCAGACACTGGAATAGCCCAGAGCGGAGACACACAGTGGTTCATTTGTCAAGGGCCCTCCCAGGACCGAGTTACCATCTCAAGAGTCCCCGGGAGGCCCGGTGTCACCCAGGGCCTGCTGAGTTTCGGGAGACCCTGCTCACACTTGGCGAGCAGCTTCCACAGCAGGAATTGGGACAACCAGCCCCCTGGGTGTTCTGGGGGAAGTTCAGCCCGGGAGGCCCGGTGTCACCCAGGGCCTGCTGAGTTTCGGGAGACCCTGCTCACACTTGGTGAGCAGCTTCCACAGCAGGAATTGGGACAACCAGCCCCCTGGGTGTTCTGGGGGAAGTTCAGATAGAGAGATGCTCGAGCCCCTCTTCTGGCAGGGCTCATGGTAAGATTCGGGGTGAAGATTCAGGAATATCCAAGGGCGTTCTCATCTCTCATATTCCTTGAAGGACAGACACCTGGTCCTTGGCCTGTTAGATGTTTTCACTGTCCTGTGGGAGCTCCATCCAAACCTTGCCCTCTGTGTCCCAAAGTCTCTCTCCTTCAACCCCCCACCACCCTTGCCCAGCCCCACAGCCTGCCTTTGTCACCCCAGGGCTGCACTGCCTCCAAAGCCCCACCCAGGCATCCTGCTCTAGGCCTGGGCCCCTCCCCGGGGCCACTGAGTCAGGCCCCACCTGCCCTAGCTTCCCACCTCCCCATCCGTCTCCCACTGCAGCCTCATGTACCTCCCCCCACCTCCTTGCCTCTCTCCAGTTCTCTGAGCCTGGCTCTAGCAAGGAGGACACCAGAAAGCTGAGTTTGGTGCCACATGGAGACAGGTCAGTGGCAGGGGCTGTGAGGTGGCGCACCTGTGGGTGGGCTATGCAGAGACAGCTCTCAGCCCTGCCATTTCCCAGCTTTGTGACCTGGGAAGCCGCTTCTCCTCTCTCTGTGTGATGGCCCCATTTGTATAATGGGGGTCCAGCCACGCAGCCCGGAGCACTGCTGTGGGATTAAATGAGCTGGGTGTGTGGAGCACAAGGTTCCTCCCCATTTGCACCAAACCAGAGCTGGGAGCAGAGGACTGGAAGGCTAGGACCTGGCTATGGAATTTAGAAGTCATGAGGGATGCGTGACCAGGAGCCAGAGGCCCAGCATTCACCCATCTCCATTCGTTTGTGTGTTTAGCACCTGCACTTTGCAGGCCCACTGTGGGCACAGGCCTCCGACAGTGGTCAGTCAGATAGTCTCCTGCTCTTGTGGACTGTCTGCCTGGTGTTGGGGGAGCCATCCAGGCACCAAAGTAGAGCCACTGACCGACAGTGACCTCCCGGCCTCGGGAGGCAGGCCCATGGCTGCCTGTCTCACCATTTCAGAATCGCTCCTGGGAGCCAGGGGTAGGGCTGAGCCCAGAAATGGGGCCCTCAGCTGTGGGAGGAGATTCTCAAAGCAAGACCTGATGACCACATACAGCAGCATCTCTGGAGAGTTCTTAGAATGCAGGTTCCTGGGCCTGGCCTCAGAAGGACTGGATTAGAATCTCTTGGGGTGGGGCCCAGAGTGCTGCCTGGTGGACATGCTCCTGGCTGATTCTGATGCAGGCCAGAGGGTCCGAACCTCTGCAGCGAGACAGGTTACCAGGGAGACTTCACCTAGAGAGGAGGAAGGGCTCAAGGTGGATACTGATGCTTTGAACCTGGTTGGATTAAAATGCCAAAAATAGACTCTTGCTCTTTAAAAAAACTGGGAATTTGCCCTCTGGATACTCCAATGACCCCTGCAGACTGTACCCATCTCCCAGTCCCCAGAGCTAGAAATTGTAATTCAAAGGAGCCGGTGCAGCCTACCATCCAGATGTCAGGAGCGGGCCTGGGGAAGGCAGTGGGAAGGGACTGCCATTCACCAGCACCTACTGTGCACAGCTTTCTGTGTGGGCTTTGAGCCCATCCTCTTGACACCCTCAGGACGGGCCACTTGTTCCTACAGGAGGAGATGGGCTGGTACAGCTAGTGTGGGGAGGACTTGATCCCAACTCTGTGGACTCAAGAGTACTGGCTTTTTCTGAATGGCTTTGGGTGGTGTGGTCTGCACTGTGTTCCCCAATGAGGGGTGACTGGTGCTCACCTCGTGGTTGTCACCTGGCTCATTTACTTCAATAATGTCCTCCCAGATGGCATGGGTTCCCAGATGCTTCCTGCAGGAAGCAATATCCCTGGGTTCCTGCCCCCTGAGACTAGCTTTGAGAGAATTGGTGGGTGGTTATGTGAAATAATTCTTTAAAAAGGGTATAATCACAACTCACATACAAATATAAAATGAATACCTGCCAAATGTTTTATTTAATTAGTGAGGAAATCAGTAAGATATCACCACTGGGGAGAATTCAAAGTACCATACATACAAGAGGATACTTCGAAAAGTTTTTGGAAAGATAGAATTAAAAGATAACACAAATCTTTCCATGAACTTTTTGAAGTACCCCCTCGTATAAGGCAGAATGGTAAAATGAATTTATAAATAGATGCAGAACTGGCTGAATGTAAGGGGAGGGGAGTGAAATCAATAGCATTGCAACTGGACAAAATTCATTTGCATGCCTACAGACAGGGATCATTTGCATTGCTATCAATACCTACAACTTACAGAGTTGCAAAATTGCTCAAAGACAGAAAAAGGCCCCAGACCCCATAGAATCAGATAACCATAAGACTGTCCTTAGACAATGCCTAGTTGTGCATTGAAGACACCTGGTAATCTTTTTGATTCATTTCCAAGTCTTTCACTTACCAGAAGTGGGCCGCAAATCTGGCTCTGAGCTTCCTAGCAGCCACATCAAAGAGGAATCAGCTTCGAGATTCACTGTCTATAAGGACATATGTATGGTCATTCACAAAAAATTTAGCTTCTTACTACACTGAGACTAGTTTCTCCTTCAGGAAGGGGCCTCATAAAGAGAATATGGTGAGGTAGAAAGTAACATCCTCAACAATATTCCTTCCACAAATGCGTGGGTGGCTTTGGGGTAGCAGTTTCCATAGGCCAGGGCAGTTGTTCTCCAAGTGCTCCTAGACCAGCAGCATCAGCATCACCCAGGAACTTGTTAGAAATGCACATTCTCAGGCCCCACTCCAGACCTACTGAGCAATCTGTGTTTTAACAAGTCCTCTGGGTGATTCTGATGCAAGCTGAAGTTTGAGAATCATGAGACAAAAGTTCTCAACCCTGCCCTCATGTTAGAATTATCCAGAAAGGTTTACATGATATCATGCCTGGGCCCCATTCAGACCAATTCAATCAGAATCCCTGTGTGTAGGGCCTGGTTATGAATATTTTTAAAGCTTCCCAGGTGGTTGTACTGTACTGTGAGTCGTTTAATGTAAGCTGAGGCAAAGAGATGTGCCTCTTCTGCTCCAGAGAAATCCAGACCTATACTTGTGAGGCTGATGTGAGATAGTGTGCCTTCCTTCCTTCCTTCCTTCCTTCCTTCCTTCCTTCCTTCCTTCCTTCCTTCCTTCCTTCCTTCATATATTCAGCACTGAGCACCTACCCTGTACATGGCAGAGTACGAGACCTCGAAGATGAAAAGGTACATTAGACACCACTGGTCCCTGGTCTCGAGGAGTCAGTACCTAATGGGAGTTGGGAAGTTATCTAATGGGAAATCCAGGCAGGCAAGGGTGTTAGGGATGGTGACAGGATGGTGGGGGTGGCCTGGGTCCACACTTCATCCCTGCTGATGCTGCTGCTCTCTTGGCAGGCTGTGAGGGGCTGTGGGACAACATGAGCTGTTGGCCCTCCTCTTTGCCGGGACAGACTGTGGAATTGGAGTGCCCACGATTCCTCCGGATGCTCACAAGCAGAAATGGTGACCACTCATGCAAGGGTCCTGGCTGAGAGGCTGTGGGGTGGTCCCCTGGGTGAGGCCTTAGCCTAGAGGCAGGAGGCCAGGAACCTTCTCTGGAGATAAGCAGTGGGTGAAATGGTGGGGGAGATCCTTGCTGGGTGTTGGCAGCCTTGCTTGGGTGTGTGGGGTGGGCTCAACTCTCAGGGTCCCAGTGTACTGGGGAAGATCATAAATGAGCTGAGTTTGCTCCTCTCTGCCCCAAGCCCCCTATTTAGGGGTTCCCCTCCTTCCTTCTATGTTTCTGACCCCTTAGCAGCCAAGTGCCTTGTTCCAGTCCCCCATGACTCAATTCCCCTGGCAGTGCCAGGCTCCCAAATGGCCTGGCCTTCCAGAACTTACTGCCTCTGTGCCCATTCTGCCCGGCCCTGCTGATAAACTGTGGGCTCCCCGGGAGTCTCTGGCCTCCTGGAGGATCTCTTACCAGTTTCAAGGATTTTCTTAATTGATTCACATTAGTTAAAGGTTGACCATATGCCAGACATTTTTATATATTTGGGCTCATTTAGTCATCACAAAACCCCTGCAAATTACATACTTTTCTCTTGACCCAATAAATCACTTGACTCAGAAAGAGTAATAATAGCAGGGACTAAGAGAAGTTTAGCAGTTTGCACTAAAGTTCACAGCAACAGGTGGAGAAACTAGAACTCAAATCCAGTTTCTCTGACTTCAAAACCTGTGCTCTGTCCTTGAGGCCATGATCAAGGTAGGTCTATAGACCCATGGTCAGGGTGATCCTGGGTGGAGATAAGGTAGGTTCAAGGCCTTTGGCTCCTGACCTCAGTGGGGTCCTTTATAATCTAAAGCCTGCCCTGGCCTGGCCCTGCTGCCCCTCTCTTCTAGCCCATGGAGGGTAAGAAAAACTGCCTGAGGAGGCCCTTTAGCAAGAACAGACCAAGGACAGGTGATTTAACACCAAGCCCCACCAGCCTTCCAGAGCCAGGCAAGGAAAGGATGACACAGAGGCAGAGACCGTGGGGCCTGGGAGAGGCATGTAGATTCTTCTCGCCGTAATTTTCTTGTGCATGTGGACACATGTGCACACGCGCATGCACACACATACACGCACAGATTTGGAAACATGCTGTGTCCCCCTCAGTCTCACTCAACACCCCACAATACGGGAATTGGAGGGGACTAGGTAGACTGGTTTGAATCCCACTCCTCCACTTACTGGTTTGGTAAGACCAGCTGCTGTAACAGACAAATCTCCCAAATCTCAAAGCCTTAAATAAATGTTTGTCCATGTAAAGTCCAAAACAGATGTCCCTGAACAGTAGGAAGCTCTCCTCCACACAGTGATCCCAGCATCCAGCACCTTATGGCTATGGCTTCAACACATAGCTTCAAAGCTGCCTGGTGAAGGGGACGGACCCAGATGATCACACGGGGAGGTTTCGAAGGGCCAGGCCTGAGAGAGTTACCACTCTGCCCACATTCCTTCAGCCACATGGTGACACTTCATTGCAAGGGACATGGGGAAATGTCATCCAGCTGGATGCCAGTCAGCCTTGGGGCCCAAGTTGCTCATTGTCTCTGAGTCTCAATTTTCTTGTCTGTAAAATGAGGAGAATAAATAATACCTGTCCTTTAAGGCTGTGCTTGGAAATAAATTTTTAAATGTCTTCTCTTGTCCCTTCTCTCCCCACTCCTCTCCCTTGTCCTTCCTCTCCTCTGGATCCCACCTACCCTCCACCCCCCTCCTGCCATGCACATACCTTAAAATTTACCAACAATCTTTACCTCCTGGCATGATCCTCCCCCCACTCCATGTCTGTCTCTTGGGTCCATGGAGCTCAAAACACAGGAGATTAACCCAGATGTGACTAACCTGGAGCAACCAGCTGGTCAAATGCAAGGCCAGAACCAGACCCTGGTCTCCAGCTCCTGTCCAGTGCTCCTCCATGGCTGACTGAATTTTCCTCCTGTTGGAGAGGACTTGAAGCTCTCCTCCTCCCCAGCCTTGCCTTCACAGTCTTCCCAACCACAGTTCTTCCTGCCCTTTTGCAGAGGGGGCAGGCAGAGTCAGGGCTCATGGCCACAGGGGTGACCAGGTGCCAGTCCAATCACATCCCTCCTCAATTAATTGCTTAAACTTCCATCTGCTTCATTAAATAGAATCCCACTGTTTCCCTCTTGAGGCTGTCCCACCTCACAACCCACTAGGGGAGTCCCAGGGGGTTAGTTCCATGTGCACGCGGCCTTCTGTGAGGATGGGAGCTGGAGTACTGCGTATACCCCTGCTGCAGTTTCTTCTTGGCACCACATGGTGTCGCTGTGGGACTGCAGGTCCACACTGAGGCACTGCCTACAGGGCTCTGCTCCGCCGGGCGGTGGGGAGGGTCACTCAGCCCCGGGGACCACCCTGCTCATTCCCAGCCCCAGGACTGACCAGCCCAAGAGCATAGGTCAGGACCTTCCAGCTTCGTTAGTTACGAAGAGCCTCCACCCACACACCACCTTCCCACCCCATACATCTACGTCTGGCTCTCCATCTCCCTCAGGAAGGAAGGCTCCCCCTCGGTGACGTCGCCCAGCCCCAGGGAAGAGCACCAGTGAGGACAAGGTGGTGTTCTGGACCCCTCCTTCTGAAAGAAGAAAAAAAAAAGAGTAATAAGTTAGTTCTGTGTCAGGGCACTTACTACTTGGGCCCAGACAGGATGAGTGTCCATGTGACTGGAGAAACTGCAGGCTGAATTCTGCCCCAAGACAGTTCTCTGTTCATACGGGCCTAGAATGTTCCCTGTGGGAAGCATTCCTTTGAATCTTAAAAGGGCACTGGTCTTCCAGAGCTCCTTATTAAAAACACATTTCCTGGGCAGGGCCAGACCTTGACCCTCTTTCTTTTCTATCTTAGTGGGGATCTAGTAAAGCCATAGTGGTTCCTAACCTTATTAGGGTCCTGGAGCTTTCAAGAGTCAGATGCAAGCTTTGAGCTGGCTCTTCCCCAAACTGTATACACAACACACACACACACACACACACACACACACACACACAACCAACTACTCAGGGGTTCTCAACGTGTATATTGACCTGTACCTGGTTAGGACCCCTTACTATTAGGAATGAACCCAGAGACCCTAGAGACAGTCCAACCCTATCTCCTCTGAAGCTCTGCCCAGCGCCCCATCAGCAGCAGCTCTGCCTTATCAGTGGCTCTGGGCACCCAGCCTGGATCATGTGAGGCATTTGTCTTGGGAATCCCACTGGGTCAGTGAGGAGGGGTCTCCAAACAGGCAGGCCTGCTGCACTGGGCTGGGCCCACACACAGCCCAGCCTCTAGGCACACACTGTCTGATAACCTTTGTCTCTGGGCTCAGGGGAGTTTGTGCTCCCTTAACTGGCTTTCGCATACAAGCAGCCTAAGTTTGACCACCATTCTTTCCTGTCTGACAGCCTGGTGTCCTGATTTAGTTCCAGAAGCCTCCCACCCCTCCCCTAAATTCCAAGACACCAAGTTCCACCCACTCCTGCCTATTTAGGAAAGGCCAAAAAGGGAGGGGCATAGCACTGGGGCACCTGCCCTGTGCCTGGCACCAGCCTGGGCATTTTCCATGTGCTATCACGTTTCCTGCTCACTCTTGCAGTGTGGGTGACTATTCCCATGAGTCACAGAGAAGGGATGCACCTAAGGTCACACCAAGAGGAAGTGCTGGGTTTTGAGCTCTGAACTAGTTCTAAACCTGTGTTCCAGGCCTCCTGAGCCTTCAGAGGCTGGGCATGCTGAGCCCATAGGATACGGTCTCCAGGAGCAAGAAGCTGCCCCTGGGACCGCAGGGAGAGGGCCAGGTGGGAGGGTGGTACAGTGATGGGACATATCCTGGCTGGGCACCATGGCCCAATTCTGGGCCTTGGTTTTCTGGTCTGTAAAATAGGCAGCAGCACCTCCATCGCTGGGTGCTGTGAGGATTTGGTTAGAATCTACATGTAAAGCACTTAGAATAGTGGCTGGTTTTAGAAAAGTCAGCCATTTTTCTCGAGTTCAGTGCAATCAGTCTGACCCTAAACCCTGGGCGTCAGTGGCCCAGACCCTGGGAGAGGAGTGTGGCAGGTCTGGCTGGGGCTGGTACGGGTCCGAGGACAGGGCTCAAGTTAGAGCAAAAGGAGCAGCAGGGCCCATCCACAGCATTCAGCAAGCAGTGCCCTGCACCCCCGCAGCACCCACACCGGCCAGAGCCAGGAACCCAGATCTCAGCCCTCCTTGACAGTCCAGAGCACAGAATGCAGCTGAGCCATTCAGTCCAAGGAGGGAAACTCCTCCTGGTGGCCTTCTGACACTCCCTTCTTGGCCAGCAGCTCCCTTCCCTGGTCTTTGGGCTCCTGCTCTACAAGCTCCAGTGGGAAAGCTCTTCCTTCTCTGTTAGAAGAGCTCAGAGCAGGCTCTTCATCCCCATTCATTCACCTTCCTGCCAGCCAACGTGTGAGGAGCAAGCACCTCGGGCCAGGCACCGGGAGGCAGGGAAGCCATTGCTCGCACTGCTGGAGGGCCCAGCCCGCAGCCTTGTGCCAGTCGTGGAGGGCAATAAGCAGCGGGACAGAGGACTGCACTGCCTCATGATTTATCACACAGAGCATGCAGAGGAGTTGCCTCCTCGTCGTCGTGGCTAAGGACTAATAAGTCCATCCCTTCCCTGAGGGGTGGCTGCCTGGAAGGCTTATCTCAGTGGCACTCTGATGGCTTCCAAATGGCCAGGTGAGCAGGGTGTGAAGTTAGATATAACATAGAACTTCCGTGGAGCAGGACTAGTAACAACGGGAGCCTGAGAAAAGATCCTTATGGTAGGGGCCAGGTCCTAGCCAAACACCCCAGATTCTCTGGGGGGCCCCACTCTCAAATGGTAGCAGGACCTGGTGTCGGGAAAAGCACCTGGCAGTAGGAAAAGAGATGAGGACGTTGTGTGTGGTTAAGAGCCCCAGGGTTCAAGTCCCTTTTTCCCCGTGTACTAGGGTGTGACCTTGGGCAACAGAACTAACCACTGCATGCCTCAGTTTCCCCAACTATAAAACGGTTGTAGTATTTACATGTGGTGATAGATTTTACCATAAAAATAACTGCCCAGTCCCCACTGCTCACCTGCAGGATGCTTGGCACCCACAGGTTCCATGTTCCGAAACTGCACACAGGACGGCTGGTCGGAAACCTTCCCCAGGGCTGACCTGGCCTGTGGAGTTAACGTGAATGACTCTTCCAATGAGAAGCGGGTAAGCCTGTCAATGTCCACTCCTTCCCCTCACCCCGGGATGCAGGCCTACGGGTTGAGGCCCTCAGAGAGGGACAAGGTGGAGCTATACTGGGGCGGTGGTCAGGACCTGGGGGCAGCCCTCTGCACCCCCACCACCCCTGCTTCACTACCTGGTCCATCAACCCGGAGATGATGATTAGGAAGACACAGTGAGAATTGCTGTATGCTGCAAGGATACTGGGGGCGATGTATTCATTAAACCGAAAGAGAAGTGATGTGCTAGCTGAACGCGTGGAGCCAGGCTGGTGACTTAACTGCTCTATGCCTCAGTTTTTTCATCTGGGAAATGGTGTTCTGACCCCATGCACTTGTCAAGAGAACTAACTGAGTTAACACATGGATGTGCTGAGATGAGTGCCTGGCCATAGCAAGTGCTCAATAAACGTTTGCTCTCAAAGGGGTCTCCTGGCTGTGATAAGCAAGGAGAGAGTCCCGCAGGGCAGTTCTAGTCCCAGAGAGGATGCGTGCCATGAGCTGTGGACTGAAGTTCTTTGGCACCTCCGGCAGCTCCCTCTGAGGGTGACCATCAGTGTCCAGCCTGAGCTCGGCTCACTCTGAGTCACTGTCCCCTCCCAGGAAGGCCCTGTCTCTAAAAGCTCATGCATGTGTGTCCTCTTGCCTCCCACCTGGGCCTTTGCCCCTGTTGGGGCTCCCCACCTGGAGAACCCTTTCCTTCTCTCTTTTCCTGACCAATTCTCACACATCCTTCGAGACTCCACCCCACTGGGGTTCATCAGCGCCTGCCCTTTCCTCCTCTCTCCCCAGGAAGGGCTCCCTTTGCCATGATATGTTAAAATGACCAGCGTGTGCCATGTGCCTCCATCTCTCTCACAAATATGAGCAAAGGCATTCATTCATTCAACAAACATTTACTGAGTACTCATGGGCCAGGCATGGGTCTAGGCTTGTGACAAATCAGAAAGAATCTTATTCATTTCCAGGTCCCCAGTGCCCAGCACAATGCCAAATATTTATTGTTGTACTGACGATCTACCATGTGCCAGCTGCTCAATGCACAATTACATTAAATCCTCAAAATAATCCTGTAAGTTAGGGCTGGCCCGGTGGCGCACTGCTACAGTG